GTCACAACTGATTTAAGCTTTTTTGATTCCGACACCCTTTGATTTCCTTCTCTTATAGTACTTTTATAGCTGAAGTTATAGTTGGGGCTCATAGTAATAGCTAAGGGGTGAATCTTTTTTCGTATTTTGATTAAGTCTTTAAACTTTTTTTTTGGAAAAACAACGGAAAACACACAGATCATACATGCTGCCGAATCGATGCCTTTTGTCTGGAATATCTCAAATTTGGGTTACTTAAACCGTGTGCAGTATGGACGCGATAACATGATATTGCAGCAATCCTTGCACATATTTCTTCTCCCCTTTCCCCTCCCCCGGTCTTTTCCCTCCCCTTTTTTTTTGATTTTTTCACGCTAGTTGAAAATAATTGGCGCATTTCGACAAAATGAGAACGCTATGGCCTCATTCAGGATCCCCTGGTTATACAATGGCAGGACAGAATAAGTCTTTGTGCATTCACATAAGCGCCTTAGTGAATTGATGATGTATTGGCATTTCGATGGTAAATTGGTACTGACATATGCCAAGGGAGTCAAACTCGCCATCAACTTGCTTTCTCCTCGCGAAAAAGGAAATCATCAATAGCTTTACCAGCGAGTGGTTGCTGTTGTCACTAAACAACATTGAGATTACTCCTCGAGTGACTTCACTTTCCCAGCGAATATGGAGAGAGGGAAGATTCTCTATTCTTATCTGTTTCAGCCTACCTACTTTACTGATTATGGCTCGCTCTCCCTCAGTTTCATAAGTTTCTCGTGGATAAACTTCCATAACTTATGTTGGTTCGACCCTGCGCAGAATGGGCCGCTGTTCCCGGCCCTGGTTGCTCCCCTCTTCCATTCCCTCACAGGGCTTTTGAGGCCCGTACTGCCTTTTACTTCCTCCTGGTCATTTTGAGGTACGCTTAAAAAAAGTAAGGAAAATCTGCGCTGTAAATCATCATGAATATTTTTTCATGCAGTTGAATATCGGCACTAAGTTTCGGTGCTATTTTAGGGACATACAAATGAAGTTAATGCAGTGAAGTATGATACTTGTTCACGACTTCTGGCATCATGTTCCGATGATATGACGCTAAAGGTAATTCCAGTTTTTAACTTTCCCTTTTTGTATAAATTATTTCGAATTTAAGGATTTAATTAAAATTCGAATTTATTTTTAAGCTCCTAATATTTTTTTTTTGTTTGCTGCCCATATGCGGACAAAATACTTCAATTTCAGCTTCAGAGCACCCCGAAGTCTCGCATGTGCAGTTTTTCTAAAATATTTCATATTTTTTTTTCCAATATATTTTTTTTTAATTCCCTAAGTTTAGTTTCAGACTTTGTTGGCATCCAATTAACTCGGTAATCAGACTGAGCAGGGGTTCTTTTTGTGTTTTATATTTGAGTATAGCTGTAGTTGCATTTGCGTTATTTGAAAAACTGGGCTAATATCCTTCTTTGTATTCATTTTCCGGAACTTCGAACTGGTGTACATGGCCTCCCAATCCCTGCAATTCATCCGCGTTACTGCAAATCGTATTCCAAAACCAAATCCGCGCACTGTATAGCTGCGA